ACTAGCAGCTGTCACATCCCCAGACTGCAGATCAGTTAGTTGAACTGTGTGAGTGATAGGGATAAAATTCTAATGGTAATGAGAATATCACATAACTAAGTAAATAAATGGATAGACAACTTAAATAATCGATAATGAAGATTTCATGAGGGGAGAAACATTTCCTCTCTCCTGCAACTCAGGGGGAATAATCCCAAGTATTGCAAGGTTTTTACCCCAACCTTATCACCCATTTCATTGCTCGTCTGTGGACTCAATCCAGAAGATTTATGTCCCATAGAAGATTGAGCTCAAGAGAGTCTCCTGTGAAACTACTGATTTTGAGACTGGTCATTTCGCGTGCACTCCATTCAGCTTGGTACGAAACGTTTTGTTCTCAAAGTGGCTTCTGAGCCAAGAGAAAAGTGGATCATTGAATCCAATTTTCCCAACCTTATCAACTAGGAGTACATGGGGTACTGTGTGAAAAGTTATTGTGAAGTCAAACAATGGTATATGAGCCGGTATTTTTCTGTTTCAGCTGTCCCACACTAAGAGGATACTGAATGCTCACGACCCGACTTTCCAAAACCCGTGTTGAGCTTCATGCAGAATTTTATTCTTAGCCATGTACTCCCTCATTTGCTCATTCATTAGTCTTTTCATCAAACCAATAGTATTAGTAGTAATGCAACTTCTCTGTAACATGCTGGATCTCCCCTAGCTCCTCCTTTAAAGATAAGACAGAGGGTAGCTTGTTTCCATCCAGATGGAAGTTGGACTGTGACTCCAGTGAATTCCTGAACAGGTCATAAACCGATAACTGGCTTCCACACACTGTTTAAAGACGGTATTCCCATCCACTCTAAGTACTTCTTTTGTGGCCATGTTTGACATGATTGTGCCACTGTCAAAACATCTTAGCGGTGTGTAAACATGGACAATCTCGAACAGTAGCTGATTGCTTGTTAACAAATAATCAAAGTTTACCGATTTTCCACCCATCTGGTAGCGTTACACACATGCTCGGTTAGTCCTGAAATTCTCATGGTTGTAAAAGGTCGACTTTAAAACCAACCTGTGGAAGCTGCACTCTGTTTACACAGATTTAAACGTGGGGTGTTGAGATATCCGGATGAGAGTATTTGGTCAAACCCTAGGAGTGAAATTCGCAGCATTGCCTTAGTCAACTTATCTTTCTGGGCTTTAGTGCTTAGGGGGTCGGTAATTCCCTCCAATCAAATATTTTGTACCGTTCCTATTAAAGCAACACCAACATGATTCTGTCACTTCCGTTGCTTGAGTGTGATGTTACGACTTAGAGATTACTGTTAGTATATATCAATACTATACCTCCTGGTTTGTGTACCCTATCTGTACGGAAGAGTGCCGTACCTTGCAAGGCCAGCTATCATCTGCAATGTCTGGAGATAGTCATGCTCCAGTTAGGATTGTGATCTCTAGACTCATCTAATAACATATATTCCTGAACTCTTCCAGCTTTCCACTCAACCCTCTCCCGTTGCTATACAGACACTTGGTGGTTGCCTCACTACCTGATAACCTTTGCTGCAATAACCGTCCGCGGGTTTGGAAAAAGTTGGTAAAGCGGGTTTGACCAATTCTGTAGGGACTGGCCGTCGAAATTTTTGTATGGTGTATTCAGTCGGCGAGATCGTGATCTTCATGTCTTGTGCCGTGGGTTGTTGATAGAGTTCGACTGACATTATTCCATGCTAACGTTTGGACTTTTTGTCGTTTTCAAACTGTTCTAGGTCGACTCTAACTGCATCTAATGTGACCAGATGGACCATTCTTTGTGATGTACGAAGCCAGAAGAGCATCTATTAGGTCTCTATGGTCTCAGAAGTTCACAACCGTCAAATGAAAACACTTTATAGTCGTGAGGTGTGACGGACGAGGAGGTCGAACGCCACTAGTTGCCGTTGTTGTGTGAAGGCCTATGCTACATAATGGCCACTGCCAAGTGCGTTGGTTTCATCTGAGCCATCACTAACCAGCTCAGGCACTCAATGAACCACTGTAAAAGCTTGTTCTTGAGAGTCTATCAGTGTTTTTGAGGTTGCTCGTACTGACCATGGTTTATTCGTGCCTGACTCGGATGACAGAATCAGCTTAACTCAGAGTCTCTGACATGTAATGAGGATTTTTTGGCAAATCGTGTTGAGTCTAAAGTTACTCTCAACAGTGGGGCTTTTTCTTCAGCTGACGCCTGAATAGGCGGTATAGTTTGACCTAGTTACTGATCATTCCAAGCATTGCGCACCATTTATCCCACAGTCCTTTATCAAAGGCACCCCAACATTCCAGTAAGCTATACTGTAACATTAAATTAAATCCGTGGATTTTCTTTAACATCCTTTTCTCTCATTTGTAGCGTTTTGGTTGTTTACCTTAAGTACGGTGCTTCATTGCTCCGTAATGTTAACAGATGCCGGTACGTTCACGATAAGCAGTAATTTCGTCGGTTTATTAACTGTGGCTCGGAGTGCCTTCATCGTCTATATGGTTGATCTTTGTTGAGCGAATTCGGTATTCTGGTGGAGATAGGTAGGATTATTTTTGATGATGCCTTTTGCTTCTGTGTTGCTGATTTTGTAGGCTTAATGATTCTACACATTTGTACAAGATATACCAGAACCAAGGACAGAGGTGACTAAGCATGAACCCATAGTTATTATCTAGACATTGTATTATCACAGCTACAGTGAATCTATCTTCTTCAGAAGTTACATCCAAATGAAGAGTCACTGGTTCTAATTGGAAAAGAGAAGGCGATGCAGTTAACATTGTTGTGTTCGTCATGAACCTTAGATTACATTATTTTAGTTTCAAATTGCCTTTATCTCTTATTCCTTTCCTGCCAACTAGTCTCACTAGGAGTAGGAGACTGTAAAAGAATGACGTACTGATTTCTTTGTTGACGACCTAATGGAGGTGTTACGATTCAGATACACTACTCCGAGGTTCACTATTTATTGAAATTTTGAGCTTTTTCACAGTTCTTTTGCTGGAAACAGATTTGTGATTCACTAGTTACCCAAAATTCAGACCTTTGCTAGCTTTATTTGTTGTTGTTTTGAAAGAACTTGAGTTTTTAATTCTGTATAACCTAACAAAGAGGAGTAAATTATTTCTTCCGATAACTTAACTAAAATACTGGTCAAGCTGTTAGGTCGCTACTTAGACACGATCTGAATATTTCTATATTTAAATATGATGCGAACTACGGATTCCTTTCAATCCCTAAGGAGTTGAGTTTGGGGGAGGGATATGTTGCACAGTATCGTAAATGATTCTGATATGCTTTCCTAGAGGAAGGACAGCAATCGAATGTGCACACTATCAACATACGATAACTTACTAGTTTTGAGGTCAATGAGTAAGCTGAGAACATTTTCCTCAGTCACTTCTGTGGCTGATATCTTAGTGGTGTGATTACAAGGAGAGTTTTTACCAGTTATTTGGTAGTCTCAGCTTTTGCCAGATCTTATTCTGTATGAATATCTGAACTCTTGTGCAACAATAATAGGGGAATTCCAGCACTGAGATTCGTTCTCCTTCACCTGCCTTTCGTTAATGGTGAGGCACTTAGCTATGGTCTTTTCACATAGGTGTCGAATTCTTCATCATTCACATTTAAATGGATCTCGGGTCACTGACAGGAACAAATCCCCGGTGTTCTTTCCAATCCTCAGTAGGTTTTGAGTTCCCACATCGATCACTGGAGGATAATACGAAAGCAGGTGTTTCTGAAACTGAAACAGCCAGAAAACTCTGGATATTAAGGCACGTCTTTGTTACTTTTCTTTCAAGATCTTACTTAGTCTAAGCATTCTCCAACTTAATTGGACCCCCAATCGATCAAACATGTTGGGTACGAATCTTTGAATTACGGGCTTTGTGTTTTATGTGGTATAACGTCTCCGTTCTTGTTACTTTGGAGTACAAGCCTCGAAATCCTCTTCAGTCGGCTCCCATCTACAACCCACTTAGAGGGTCTTATTGTTTAAACAATATATAATCCGAAAACCTCTTTCAGCATTATGTTTGTGATGGCAGATCCCACTTATTGCTCACGCTTTGGAACAAAATCATTTGCTTTTGATTCTTCTAGATTCCAGATAATTAAACTGGTAACGGACCTGACTTCTTTTTGAGCTCCATCTCTTTAACCTATCACACTGCATACCTTCAACTTCCCCTCAATAATATTCCTTTTTTATCAATTTTGTGACTTTCATCTGACCACATTTGGTATTAAAGCTTTTTTACAACTACGTTTTTGCCCTACGTTGACTTACCAATACCGAACGTATATTCAAGTAAATTTTCCTCTTCGATTATGATACTTCATTATGAATATAACAGCTAGTCTTACGAAAACCGTTTACACCTAAAAACAACGATCGGTTTGTATCCAAAAGTAGCTGTCGAAGAGTAAAAGAGTCAACCAATTTGCCTTTTAACAAATATTAAAAACTGGTTATTTAGATAGTAAAAGTAAAGACAATTGTCTGGTCAGCAAATCGGAGAATGTAACATGTTAGGCATGTGGAACTCTTCTAGCTCGGAGACAACCTTACTAGTGAGTTGTTATCTCACCTCATCATTTCGATGTTGTTCAGTCGACCAATATATTCAAACTTTCCAGATGAAGACAGTCTCCTCAACAGGCGATGCGGGATCCCTTCTGCTAAATTTACCATTTAGTCCTTCAAAAGGACTCAATAACTACTCACTGTGGAAAAATATCTATTCCAGTCAAAAGAGAGTCGGTAATTAGCGTGGTATTATGCAAACTGTACAGATTGTGCAAGCAAAAAACATATTATGTACAGAAATAATTACATACGCGCGGTTTCAAGAAACAATGGTGAAGTATTTTTAGGATTCGAAATGGTTAACAATGTCTACTGATACTTCAATGTAAATTAAATTGAAACTTGAAAAGGGTGCTTGTCCTCCACCCATATGTCTTTGTTTTTCGCGGCCGTAAACGCGCAGTGTTTGTGTCCGTGACTCTTGTCTTGATGGTAATTGGAATTCAAATTATTGATAATTTTTGCATAACTTCCTGTGTTAATGTTCATGCATTCGCTAACTTAATTCAAATGGATTATTACATTTTGTGGATTTTATTACTTAAATGGCTTGCATTCTGACAAATATATCCATTCATGGTATTTTATATTCCTTTGTCAAATGTAATAACTTCAAATTGACTGAAAATTATTAATTAAAAATCCAGAATTCTTTTCTGAATCCTATCACGTGAATAGCTATGAGGTATTTAATTCACATGCTATGTCATTTTGAAATGCTTGTCCGTGCAACCTCATGGTCACGTGACTCGTTGATACCACTTTTTTTGTGTTGAGTGAACAAACGCTTTTCTGATAGTAGCCACTCAGTTTCTAGTGTGATCCATCGACGTTCTAGATTTAAAATTTCAATACATGAGACAGAAATGTGTTGCTTCACCTGACAGTACTGTGGTCATAATAGCATCTTATTTGGTATTCATTAAACTTGTAAATACAAGCACGTTCCAAACTTTTGATAATTTCGTGCTATCGCTTCTGGTTTAAACATAATTAAGTGCTTTTCAGTACTAAAAATGCTTGAGTCGACGTAAAAATATTACCGTTTGTCAACTCGTGCATTCTGTGTTAGGTTAATTGCCGTGTTTCGTAATTACTGTAAGAATTGCAGGAGGCAGTCCTTCGAAAATCAAAGCTATCCCAGGTCATGCAAACTATAATCCTCGTAAGTCTGACATGAGTATCGCTTCGGTATAACTAAAAAATTTTTCTGAAGATGAACCCCAGCAGTATTTCTGCCTATACATGTACGACTCCACATTAATCCTACCGCGTTGTTTGCCAACAGAGTGTTGATACAATTACAAAAGGTTTTTATTATATTTATAAACTTATGGAAATCTCTTATTTATAATCTAGTAATAGATAATAAAACTTTCTCTCCAATTGAGGGTATGCATTCGAACTTCACTTCACTATGAATCTCGGTAAAAATCTTTTGTTAGGATGGAAACAGCTGAAATTATTGACTGAAAGTACCGATTCCTGGATAATGTTACTGATCTTTAGTTGTTACCCACCTCAGTAGAACAAATTCTATAGGTCAACCGTCAGAACTTAGTCCCAATGCGTAACATTTCGTCTGAATATGGCTAATTAAAATAATTCAACCCAAAGAACCTAACACTTAGAATATCTACCGAAGCTGTAGATTTCCCCCCTATCGCTAGTATTTGCAAATTGCAAAATAATTTCATATAAACTACTCAAAGGTTTTTTGTCTTAACCGGTTCGCTAATTATGTCCATAACTACGTTTTTTCAAGTGTTAAAATTGAATAACAAAGGAAATTACAAGAGAACTAGTGTCCACTAAATTCGATTCCTATAGAGACTTGCAACCTATCCAATTAAGACTGGCGGACTGAGTATCTGAGTACCAATCTTTGAGTCACGAGTTCGTAGCCCCTCTATTGTGATGTGGTCAATTGGATAGTACCTGAAATATATGCGTAGTTCGGCTGAAACCTAATGACTCAGATAAATACATGGGCACTAAGTCTTGCTGCTCATTACTTTGCATATCAGGCTTAGAGCATTGTGGTTGTCTATAAACCTAGTATTAATGTAACACGTTTATGTCATGCGATCACTACGTACAGGCCCATTTACTCATTACTTCAATTTTTAATTGACAAATCTATTACGTTAATTCTTCAAGTTCACTCAAAAGGAATTTATTTTCTTCATTTTAATTGAGTACTAAATACATAGTATAATCATGTTTAATTATCATGTTTCATCCTTCTGATGTTACTTTTTCTTCCATACCATTTGTCTTGATAATTTAATCTCCAAAAAATGACGTGGTAACTTGAATCGAACATATGTGTGCCGGGTTCCTCATTACTTACGACGCCACTCGTCTCCTCACGGTCCTGGCGCGAATGTGCACCACCGGTTTGAAATAGGGATTTTCCAACTGTCCTTTATGAGTCCTCCATACCCACCAACCTGGTCTAAGCCTCTGTTGGACATTCATTTTTCGTCTTGACAATTTCATAAACAACACCTACTACAAGAATTAGTGGATTGAATTTCTCTGACGTTGACTGTATATGCATTGTCATATGAAGGCATTTCGAGCGGGGGAGCTTATTTCTACCGACTGTTAGCCATACCAGGTCATTTGGAAGCTTGATTGGATAACATCCTCCTAGATTGCACATGCTGTGACTCAACCATATGAATTTATTGTCTAAGGAACACGAATATGTCACATTCTTACTTGACTCGTACTCTTTGAACCCTTTCAGTGGTACACTGCAGAAAGTAGTTTTATGCTTACATTCAGAACTTATTTCTGCGGTAAAATATTGTTATATCGCATTGGCTCAAAAATTTCAAGCTGACGAGATGAATGCCAAAGAAGTTAATATAAAGGGTATCATTTATAGTGAGAAAGATGAAATACCGAAGAATTCGATTCGAGAGAAAGGGATAAGTTCAAGGAGTATGAAGAATCAATTAAAAATAGTACAAGATTTAGTAGGATATAGACAACACATGTGCATGATTGTAACAGATTCTGAGCCATATCTCCTATCATAGTCAATAACTTCTTGGACTAATGCCACGTATCGTTTTGGCCACCCCTAATTTTATGATCGTTGCATATTCCACCCTTCACGCATTAAGGTGTGCAGCGGTAGAACATATCCGACACTTTTTCTAACTACCTTAGTCGTTAATTTCTCATGGCCATATGAAGGTATTTGTATGAAATAGCCTCAGCATTGTTCAACATGTTGCTTCATAGTATGCGAACAATAGTTCAAAGCCACCTACTTGCAGCTTATATATTTTCTACTTCCATAATATATGTTTCACAGACGCAGATTAATGCAAAGCAATCTAATGGGTAGCATGTTTACCGCCCCCCCCCCGTGGTTTCAGATAGACATCTTGCCTTCTCCATAAGTGACACCGACTGCCTCGACGAACTTTGTTTTGTTGTGTAGGAGTAGGTTGCAAGAAAGTTGGGGGCGGCCAAACCAAAACATGGCACAAATCCATGAAGTCACTGACTAGTGGACTTAGCTATGTCGGTAATTGTCGACTACCTGGTTGGGGTCCGCGAGACGAAAGTCACCAATGGTTAGAGACCTTGAATGACATGGCTCAAAATCGTTCGCAATGGCATTTATTCTGTATGTTCTCTCAAATCCTAATCTTCTGGATTGGTCAACAACTCTAGTTTTGACTTTCTAAAGTTTTCTCACTGAATCATACTTCTTGAATAGTATCTTCTAACCCTAACCTCTCCGATTACTTCTAATTCCCTTACTACCTCTACTACTATTGGATTTGAATTGACAATTACATCTGTGTGCTGATGTGGTATGGCAACATGAACTGATGTACTTACGTACAAAGTTCTACGTTGCATCTGACTGACTGATGTATGTAGGTACAAAGTTCTACGTTGTAACTAACTGACTGACTTACTGATTCACTTAAATTTTTATCATTATTATCTCGTTAATTTATTATAGATGATGGATCATGTGATGAATTACGCTTCAAAAAGTCCAGAAAAATCTAGTCCAAGTTTTCCAGAAGATGTTGAAGATGATGATGAAGATCCAATGGATTTAGAACCATTGAAATATTCTTCTCTTCGTCAACATATAAACAATACCAACATAAATATGACTAATAACAATACTACTCATAATACTACTCATAATAACAATGAAACTAATAACAATCATTGTAATGGTGGCGTCATTGATGATGATGATGATGACAATGTGGATGAACAACTCGATGTTACAATGTTACCATTGGAAGATGAAGATGATGAGATTAATGGGACTGGTGGTGTAGGTGGTGGTGGTGGGGGAGGGACAACAACAACAACACATGGTTTCATGTTAGGCATAGATAGCAGTCCACGTCATCCAATAGATTCGACAGAGAAAAAAGTTCATTGGTCTAATCAAAATGTTCAAACTTTATTAGATTGTGTTGAAAAACATTTAGATGAATTTAATATACAAAAAAAACATAAACAAGTATGGCAAATTATTGGTACAGAAATGGAATCATTAGGTTTTACTATGGAACATTGTTATAATAAATGGAAAAATCTAAGACGTGATGTACGTTTGTTAGTGAATAATCCACAAAAAGCTGTACGTAATGCTGATATACTTCGACGTGTAGCTCGATTAATTTTAGTCATTTATCCAAATATTGATGCTACTACTATGCAAGTCACTGGTGATCGAATAAATAGTACTAGTAAATCGACACCGAATACACCTGGTGGTCCAGGTAGTTTATCGTCATCAGCGGCGGCGGCAGCGACTCGACTTACATTATCCGCATCATTACATGCACCAGACTCACCATTGTATTTTGGTCTGTCACGAACACCACGTACACCGCATAGTTTAACACCGAATTTTCATTCATTCAATGGTATTAAACCGAAAACGGAACAATCGAATTATGATAACGCAATGATGATCAATACAACGCCTAATGCTAATATCCTTCCTACTACTAGTACTACTGGTGCTTCAACTACTACTACTACTGTACCGGGTACTGCATTGTTCACTAATAGTAATAGTAATAATCATAATTCACGTAATTCAGACAATGATAAGAAATTACGCACATCGTCTACGCCCAATTCAATCAATAATAATACTAATAATACACATTCTGCATTTCCATTCATGTTTAATCCTGCTGCAACAGCTGCACTTTTAGTTCAATCACAATTGTTCAATGATTTATTACGTCATCAACCGCACCAAACACCACCACCGCCCCCATCATCATCATCCTTATTACATGATATGGATTCAATTCAGTTGGATAGTATACAACAACGTGAACAATTTATGGCATTGACAACTTCGATAAAAAATGCTTTACATGGTGGTAGTGGTGGTACTATTACGAATGGGAATAGTAATGGGGTGACATTGACACAACATACTACTACTAACAATAATAATAGTAGTAGTGGTATGAATGTCAGCAAGAGTGGCATTACAAATGGTGATTTTAACGCAGATAGTAATAATAATAATAGTGTTAACAATCCCTTACATATTGCCAATCTAGCTACCAATTTATTGAATGGTTTAACCAGTATGGATACATCACAATATTTAAATTTGTTAGCATCAGAAGCCGGTTTATTAAATGGTAGTGGTAGTAGTAGTATAACTAGTCATGTGAATAATTATCATCATCCTACTGCTAGTCATTTACAACAACAACAGCAACCGCAACAACCACAACCGTTGTACACGTCTATCACTGATCGTTTACCACCTGGCAGTGAATTGGCCAGTGTTGTACAACGTTTACTCAATGAAGAAACAATACATTTACGTTTAACCGATATGGTTACACATTTAGCGGATGAATTACGCGCTGCTGGTCTACGTAGACGTGCTACATTGGATCAATTATTAGAGATTATGCAAGGTGGTGGTGGTGGTGGAGGAGGCGGTGTCGGCGCCGGTACCACTCCGATCGGCGGAACAACCACAACATCCACAATTCTAAGTCATACACATAATAATCCAGATACACCAACACATCGTGTTTAGTGTTTTCGTACCTCTCCTCCTTCTCTTTTCTGTTTTTGTACTACTACTGTTGAAACTGCAAAGAAAAATACCTATCGTTTGAGATTTGATTATTTTTGTGTGTGTCTGTGTGGAGTGGAGTGGAGTGGATTAATAATAGTTCATACCTGTGGATATCTATATACATATATACATATATATACTGTACACATGTAAAAATGCGAAATCACACACCGGTAAATTTCATTGTTTCGTTAAACGAATTGCATTCTTCTCTTTGAATTTGTTGAAATTGTTGTATAAACCGCGTGTGTGTTTGTGTGTGTGTGTATAGGGGGCGGCGAAACGACGACTTTTATGTAGACAGCATTTTGTTTGTTTGTTTGTCTGTGTGTGAGAGTGTCTCTTTACAGCTTTTCTTTTATTTTGTTTAAATGTGCATTCTAATCAACAACAACGAAAAAGAAACCAAGTCCTTTATGTTTCATAATGTGTAAATATCTCTTCTCCGGCAATAACAAATGGTGCTATTAGGTCATGTGCGGGAAATACAACTTACATGTCTGTTGCTACTACTACTACTACTAGAACTACTCCTCTCATTACCATTCTAAATAAAACTAAGTAGCAAGCAATTTCGGTGTTTCATTTTTTTTTGGTAAAATTGTATTTTCCGTTTGTTTGTTTGTTTGTTGGTACTCAACCACTGTTTTTTCTAAACCGGTTCTGTTTTTTCCAGTCTTGCTTTTCAATTCTTTTTCTTCTAAACCAATGCATTTTACTCGGAATGTTGTTCTTTTTCGATTGTGTACATGCGAGTACAAACTAGGCAATTTACATTTTTGTATGATTGATTATTGAAGCATTTATAAAGATTATGAGTTGTTTTGTTTTTTCTCGGAACAGCGCCGGGTTTCATTGTCATTCTTCGCCATCGCCATCATCATCATCATCTTGATCATCACCATTGTTGTGTCATTCAAATCACCATCCATTGATCGGTTTTTTGTACACAATCAATCTGTCCAATCAGCCTCATATTGTTACTTAATAGTTGTTGACACTTTTTTTTACAAAACCGATGTTCGCAGCAACTCTCTCTTTACATTACACGTCGTTGTACAACACCATGTGTGTACTTTTTTTTCTAAAATCGTTATATTCTCAGTTCTCTTTGTATCTTCTTATTTTCACAAGGTTAACTAACACATGGCTGTGCGTTCAATAGTTTTCTATCATGTAGTAACATCAATTATATTTCTATGACGTAGAGAGAGAGAGAGAGAAAAAGCAGCGCAGCTACGCGCTTATTCTGTCGTTTTCCGTTTTGACTTATTGTATTTTTTATGTATTTTCGATCAGTTTTGATAACTCTCTGTTCAAGTACATATTGTACTTCGTGTGTTTGTGTGTGAGAGAGAGTGAGTGTGAATGTAATTGTGTTTATTCCAAATCTTTCCCTTTGTGTGTGTGTGGGTGTGTGTGTAGCACCAATGATCATATTTTTGATATCTAAATACACATGAATTACGTCGATTTATTAATACTCATTAATTAATTTATTTGTAACGATATTTACTACTTATTTACTTACTTAAATAATTGACAACACAATAAAAATGTTGTAGTTTTTACACTTTTATACAACTGACAGAGTTAATCCAGTAGAGTAAAGTAAAGTGAAGTAAAGTACCTACCTATATATTCTGTCATTCTTTTGTTTCGTTTTGAGATAGTCTTTTTTATTTTCCTTAAAGGAAGAACAAAGCAGCAAATCTGATCCTTATGTATGGACTATTAAATAACTAATTCTTATTTTTTACCATCGATGAGAACATTTTTCAGTCGGGTCTTGAAACTTGTATTTTCTTATGATTACGATTATTATTATTATTATTATTACTATTATTGTTGTTATTACTATTACGTAATCGTCGCAGCATATCCAACAATTTAATCCGGTGTTTATTTTTTTGATTGATTGATTCTATTTATTTTGAACAACGTTTTTGATGCCCTAACAATCCTTCATTTCCTTCATTCCTCCTCATTCCAAACTTTTTGTTGACATTGTGAAATTCCGGTTTCGTTTTTCAAGGGGAGCAGAGCATGTCTACCTTAACCTAACTTACACGGTCTCGGTTATTGAATTACATCAATCTATTGTCATGATTTTTGTGTGTATTTCTCTTCAAGTACGTTCCATTTTTGTTTTTGTACTATTTTTTCTAAAAAAAAGTTATTACTATTTTTTACCACTGTACCTGTATTGTATTATGGGTGAATGAATCCCCCTGGTTTGTACACATATTTACATGTAGGATGTGCTATTTTATTTTTCGACTGATATGTCGTGTTTTGCCTTTTTTATATAAGTCCCTTTCCACCGTCCATTATTCTTGGTATGCTTTATTTTACGATAATTATGGATAAGGCGATCTAGTGTCGCTGTATTTTACTTTTTCCGACTACTACTAATACTACTAACATTATCTTTTTAATTCGGAATTTCTATTTCCATTCTCTACAATTTTATCATGATTACATTCAAATTGTTTTATTTTCTGAAAAGGTACTTCATATTTTTTTTGCGGTAATTCGCTTCTGTACACTTACACACACACACGAGTACATGATGACAATAACCCACAAAGTAGTAAGCAGCACTTTTGTTTTCTGTGTGCGATCATCTTTATGTCACAACACAAATCTCTCCTCGATCCCAATTGTAGTGACTGTTTATATATATATACATATTTCTCTTCTCTCATCGTTCATGAATAATACACCCATCATTGTCACACAAATTTTTTTTAAAAATTGGTTTGTTTTATTAATGCGTACAGAAAAAACTATGTCGTCTTCTCTTGATTGGCTGTTTGCATTTCTCTCAATAGTAGTAGTAATCCTTTTCTCAAAAGGTGATCTGGCAATGAATGAATTGTGTTTTATATATATAGATATATATAGAAATAATACACGTCGTCTATGATGTATATTATGTAATAATTGTATTTTTCCTTTTGTGCATTTTTCGTTTTCTTACATTAAAAAAAAAAACGTTACTATCATTCATTAACAGTGGTAGTAGTATTTAGTAGTAATAATAGTAGTATTGATAGTAGTATTCCTAATAATAATCGTAAATCATTGTACAACTAATATGAATTTTAATGAATTATTTTTGCTTTTTTCTAATTTTTTGCCATGTACATACTGAATTCCTTATTATTACGCATTCACACACTTACACATCTATATATATATATATACATATACCATAATGAGTGTGGTTTATTCTTTGCTGATTTTCTTTTTCTGTTGGAATCGATCAATTTCGGGGTGGGGTGTAAGGGAAAATGAACTATTATCGATCGATCGATCGATCGAGTGTGAAACCGATTTGGTTTTACGTGCTTATCTTGGGAGTCTCATCAGTGCTGATAGCCTGGTGACTGACGAAATCTCAGCATGAATATAGCAGGCTCGATTGGTTTTTGCCAACTTGCGTTGGCGAAATTACCCGTTTCGCTAATCAAAGGATGAGTGTACTGCACAGTAGTTCTCTCCGTCCTACTTTATGGCCGGTGAGAGTAGAGGACATTTGTAGATTGCTTGTCTTTGATCATAGGTGTCTCCGAAGCATTGTTCGTATATCCTGGGATAACCGAGCAAGTAATGCTGTCGTTAGAAAACGAGTACTAGGTAGGTCAGTGGATGAAGTATTGAAACTTCATCAGTTGAGGTGGGTAGGACATGCGTCTCTCTGTCTGTTCCAGCGATTAGACTCTGACTCCACTGGCATAAATGTTCCTAATAAGTAGTAGTTGTATTGTGTGGAATATTGGTTCCTTTAGATGTCATCATTGTATCTGGTCAGTTGAAAAGAGTGGGAGTAGCATCGTTTGCATTAGCGGTTCTGTGAGGTAAGGGAATGTGAGTAGAGTTAGTTGTGGGGAGAAGAGAGGTATGTGTGGGTGTAGGAAGGATATGATTGTGTGCCGTTACAGGTATGAAGGCGGATGTTACTTCCCAGCTGCCCACATCATGGAAGGGTTTTTTTAAGGAACTTGAAAAGGAAGATAGATTAATGTTGGTCTTAGAGACCTGGGAGCGTGACTGCAGAGTACAAGGGACAACTGCTTGAGGTCGGTCACGCACGGCCTTTTTATGAAAGGTTTTTTGAGTATTAGCTCCGCTCTTGAAAGCCCTTACCGACGGAGACGGAAATCCGTGGGGTAGGGTGAGGTGTGACATTTTTAGAGTCGACCTTTTCTATCCCCTTCCTTCCGTGTGAGAAGGCAGCATTGCTGTAGATGCTGGTTGTCTGAGGGAACCACCTTAATGCTGTCACAACCGTTTTCAGCCAGGAGTACGACTTCGCCCTCAGACCTTGGGTAGCTGCTTTTAGTCTGATCGTTCTCCAATCAACCTGCCTGGGATGGTAGAACCTTCAGGAACATAAGTTCCAGCCAATATAGCTCAGCTATGTCGTCACTATAGGCAAGCCCGACCGCCACGTCAAGGTAGCAGCTACGGTATTGCCCCAGGTGGAGTTGATTAGATGATGAAAATCTTTAGATCTCAAGAGGAGCTTGGAAAGTTTGGATTTCTCAGATGATCTAGCTATTCTGTCCTATAAACGGCTACAACTTCAAGTGAAAACACCCAGTGTGGCGACTGACCTCAACTTACTCAAAGGAAAAAGCAATATTCTTAAATACAACACGCCAGTCCATACTTTATGAGGAGCAGTTGGTAAAAATTCAACGTACCTGGGTAATAAACGAGGGGATCTGATGTTAATTTAAAAGCATGGGTTGGCAAACCAAGGACAATATTTCTGCGATCCCGTAAAATTTAGGGCTCAAAACAACTTTCAACCAACACCTGAATTCAGAATCTTTTAAATACAAACGTCAAGAAAGGTTCTGTTGTATGCAAGTGAAACTTGGAGAAGCACGATAGTCATCAACCAAAAGTTCCAAATATTTATAAACAGTTGTCTGGGTAAGATACTCCTCATCCATCGGCGAGACACAATCATTAACAACCTACTATGCAAGAGATCAAGTCATGTTCCAGCTGAAGAAGAAAGTGCTGGAGGTTAGTAGAACACGTTATGGAAGTCAGGAGATAATTCCTAACTTGGAATCTTCAAAGCCCGAGGAAAATTAGGAAGACCAAAGAACATAATGCTGTAGAAACTTAGAACAAACTTCAAAAGAA